TTTTCATATTTTCTGAAAACTTTCATTTCCCACGGGTTAAAGATTATAATAATCTCTCAATCGTCTCTCTCGAAATTCAGGGTATTTCATAGACTATCTGCTAGAGCTGAGGACAAGAACTGTGTAACAAATACAGAGAAATCTAAAACACACAAGAGTTTTTACGAAATATAAATGAAATCCAAGAATCATTACTGAAACTGTATTATAGATTATTTAGGAAACGTGGATTCTAACAGAATGTTTATGTTTTAAAAGAGATAGAGAAGGATTTAAAGATGTTTGTACGACTAATGGAGTAGCTCAGTATAAAATAGCCTAAATTTGTAGCATCTAAGTGTATACAAAATGAATACAAGAGGACTGACATATATTTGTATGTTCATAAATAGATGACTAAAAAAACTCAGAGTTAAATAGGAATAATATATATGTAAAATCTCAGCAAATGAATTCGAAGTAAATCTAACGTTTCACTTGGCAATCTGGTCTAAGCTTTTTCAAGGAATTACATCAACTCGGAGTTCAAATACTGTTAAACTGTTAACTCTAATTTAGACGAAAATTCTTATATATTACTGAAACAGAGTTGTTAAGGTGAATAAGCAAGTATCTTAAAATAACTTTGAAATTCAGAGAACGTTTACTGACAACAAAAAATTATTTCTCGTTATTACTATCAGTTACTTGTTATTGATCAATAGCATCTGAATACACAAAGATAACCAGTGGATTGTTTAATAATCAAAGATATCAAAGAGATAATATTTTATTCAACTATGAATGTTTCCTCAGGTTCCACAGAATGTCTGGTTGCGATTCATTCATTCAGCTATTTAAATACATATATGTCAGAGAAAGACTAAATGTAACACACATACAACTACTAAAAATCTGGTTTTAGACCAATACTTAGGCTTTAAATCTTTGGATTAAGCTTTACATCACTTACAGTTCATTGTAACTAGTATGTCATTCGAATTTCATTCTCCTTTGCTGATTGTTACTAAACTTTCAATAGAATTTTTTTGAAATGGATAAATCTGAATGGTTTTAAGTCCTACTTACTTGTTTATATAAAACGAACTATCGTACTGCTTTCTCAAATTAATGGGGACTTCGCAAAGTTCACAGAAACTCTAATATTCTGACTTCACTAATAACTAGGGGTAATAGTCGTTAACTTTAAATACTTTTCTTAGTTATGAATTGTATAAATAACAGTAAATAAGGAACAGATTGATCGTAATTTCACTAATTCATAACACTCGTTTGTGCTGACGAAAATCCAAGATGTTTGAAGAGATATTTCAACTCAAAAAATCTATTTAAAGGATTCACATTCATCTACCGTTTTCGTACTGGAAGTATCAAAAATAAGAATTCTCAGAGAGAGAGAGAGAGAGAGTTGGATAATCTAATGACCACAGTAAAAACACCTATTTTAAGGTGACCATCGTATGTTTAGTTTTATTTACATGAGGAGTGAATTGTTCATTAAATGGAAAAAGCCACTGGATTCACCTCGAGATCTCTTAATTTTAAGTTTAGTTTGTGCCATCGTTGAGAGTGGGCTTCATAGTGTCAAAATAAACTTACTAGCTTACAACCCCTCGCTATTCTTTGAAGTCTTCCCAGCTGTCAGTCCATAAGGAAAATATTATTTTTAAAGACAAAAAGAATTTCTACAAAGCTATCAGTCAGACATAAAACAAGATTCATATACATTGGTTGTTTGAGTGAACAGTATTGGGTTAGGGTCCTGGGTCGAACGCCAGATCTGGAATGCAGGGACGACCAGTTAAAGAGTCCTAGGTAGGACGAAATGCACGCCCTTGGTCCCGCTGTTAGAATGTTTAAATTTCTGTTTGGTAAGGTGAATTCCGTTTAAGTCTACGCAGGCAATTACACAAACTTTTGGTAAAACGGTATAATAATAATAATAATAATATATTCTGAAAATAATATTTACAGAATTCACACCAGTTTACAGGCATGATCAGATTGTTATAAAAATCAACATTTAATGTAGAGAACAAACATGAATTATAAGAAGGTCTTATGTTTGCTGGTTTAGTAATTGATAAACAGTTTAAATATGGCATATATCACGGCAAGCCAATGCAACACCAGGGAACTTGTCATTTTTTTATTAAGTGGATAGCCTGATGATTGACCAACATTATTCTGTAAGGTTATTACCAGTGCCAGAGCTAGTTATTATTAATTATCTACAACTAGAGAAAGTAAGATTAAAGCAAAGAGCACGGAACAACAAAACAATGATAGCATGTAAGAGGTTAAACATTTAAAGTTCCTATAATCTCACTTGTGGAGTAAGATACACTTGCAGGCGCTAGAGCATTTAATACATTTTCAGAGGAGCAAAAAGCATTAATTGACCGAACAAACAATGGGAGAGAGTCTAACATACGGATCGTTTGGGGTAAATTATTCCATAGTCTAGAAAACTTACAGGTAAAGTAATTCATATAGAGAGAAGACCTAGAATATGTTTGTTTCGCTAAAGACAAGGAGTTACGAATGTCGTAATGTGAAGCCTTAGCATATTGAATCGCCTGACTGGATGTGAAGGAGAGTTTGTTAAGTATTTTGAAAAAGAAGATAAGGTTAAGTTTCAGTCTCCTCATCCATAAAGGGTCAAGCCCTAGTTTACTACACCTCGAATTATATGTCAAGACACTATCAGGTCCAAGAGTACGAAATGTAAATCGTCTCTGTACTGATTCCAGTCTTAACTTAAATTGTTGTCTCTAAAATCAGTGCAGACGATCAGCTACCAGTGAGAATTTGATTGGAAAGATGCTTAAATGTTATAGAATTTCTTGAAACCTGGTATTCTAGTCTAAGATCAATGAATTCGTTGATAAGGTCTCTATAAACCAGACTATACAACAAAAGGTCAACTAGAGGTCAGTAGAACAAAATAAGGATAAATAAACTTAACAAAATAACCTTTATCAGAAGGGGTTTTGTGGAGATTTAGTATCTTCATAGGAAACGTCATAAAAACAAGCTAATCTAAAGATTGTGAATTAAACAGCTCAGTTCTACATAACGTAAGCGCCAATGGTGTTATGTAGAACAAAAATTAAACATGTGTAATTAAATCATTTAACTCAAGGAACATGACATTTTAGGCAATTAGTCCCTTTGATAATGTGATGAGAAGACGAAGATTATCAGAACTATGTGATATATATTAGCGCAATACATTTCGAACAATCTGATCACACATATACTTGTTAAGATCCACTAGACTGGAAATGGAGGGTAAAAGAAGACAAGGATAATAATAATAATAACAATGATAATAATGTGAAAACAATTTGAAACCTCATAGAAATGGATAATAAGCTAATATTACCAGGGTAGGTTTAAGATGAGAACAAATTGTTTTTGAATACACAAAGGAAGTTTGAATTTTCGTATGGCTAATGCTTCAATAAACCATAGTATACGCCCTTTTATACTTTTATACAATTTCCATAGTCACTGCCCAATTAATTACAAACGTGGGTAAACAAAGGGCTTATTCAATAGAATCAATCGTATTTGTACTAGAGATACTATTGAAGTAGAGACGATTCTCTTAACTGATACGTTAATGATAATGGTTATTCATCAAAGTTCATAAACCGCTGAAACGGTTGCAATACGATTAGACCTATGACGCTTCTACCACCCAAAAGGCGAATTTATATCATGTTGCCATTTAGGGACGACTCAAATAGTCTCATGTTGAAACGGAGACTGAAATTAGCCATAAACAGGACATTTTATGCAGCCTAACTTGTCATTACTGAAAAAACAGGGTCGATATTTCACTAAAACTTAAACAGCACATAAGCGATTGTTCGAAATGTATTGCGCTATATATCATATAATTCTGAGAAACTTCGTCTTCTCATTGTATTATCGAAGTTTATCAAAGGGATTAATTGTTTTAAACACCCAACAAGCCGAATTTAGATCAATCTTATGGCCTGTTTAAATTATGTGTATGGCAATAGAGAATGATGGTGTTTATCCTCTACTCTTATCGGGTCATTTGATTCTATTTGTTTCTGCAACCATTTTGGTACATGTTCACACATCTTAATTTTCAGATCACGATTGCTTCTCCCTATGTATGTGTGACCACACATACATTTAAATTGGTATTTATAAATTTTATATGGTTGAAATCATGAATGGATTGGAGATAGACCATCATGGAAAATCTGGAAGCACTGGACAGCCGTTTCGTCCTATTGTGGAACTCCTCAACAGTGTGAAACGGCCTTCCAGTGCTTCCAGGTTTTCCATGGTGGTCTAACTTCAATTGACTCTTGATTTCAACTGAATTAAATTACTAAAATATCCACTACCCCCCCCCTTCTAATATATAAATGTTCTTAACAAGTATATTATGTGTGATCAAATTGTTCGAAATGTATTACACTAATATACATATCACATAGTTCTGATATATCGGAACATGATATTAACCAAAGCCTGTTTCATCTACAAAAAAAACCAAACATTTTTATGAATATCTCTTTATTTGAAACAATAGCCAATTTATAAAAAATATTTTACATATCTTTGATGAATTCATTATATGAAATAGTAACATATCTCTATGTTACCCCTTTTTTTAATATTTAATTTAACATGAACAAACAACCCCCCTCCCGCGGTAACTCACTGATAAAGTGTAATATATCATGTTGCCATGTAAATTGTTTTTTTTTGTTTTTTTCAAACAAAAAGAAAAGAACAAAAACAAAAAAAGAAACAACCTGAGAAATTACTTTCTGATAAAACAAACAAACAAGCAAACAGTAAATTTCAAATGAGTTTACTGAATGAACATGAGTTATATATTCAATTTCTTTATTCTTTCTGTACAACAATAGAATATATTACATTGATGAAAAAATAATGCAAAAAAGGGGGATGGGGTGCAGAAGAAATTACTATGAGGATTTGATTCTTTATGCAGATATAAATTGTAATGGTAATTTAACTTTCATACAACCTACAAGATCTTTATTTTCCATTTCTAGTTTGATTGTAATATGAACATCAAGTTTCTGTGAGTGAAAATTGTTATTTTAAAAAGAAAAGAGACAAAAACAAGTTGGTTAAATGATTGAAACATATGTTAATGATAATGGTCAAATTGTAAAGTGAAAACCTTTGTCTTAACTTAGAAAATACTACTATAGATATTTGAAAATTCATCTATTTGGATAGCCTAGACAACTAATATAAACGAATCTTCGAGTTTCTCGTGAGAGATCGTGGATATGCACTACTGAGGAGCCTCATACTTGGACGAAAAAGCCGTCCTGTGCTTTGAGGTTACAATGGTGGTCTCACTTAGATTTATTCGTGATTTCAACTTGAAGATCTTCATTTTCTAACCCAGTAAATGGCATGTTTAACAAGAAGGACACAAGTAAATATATTTTCATTAGAAAACTCCCCAAGACAACCTATCTATCGCCTAACTTTTAAATGATAACAAAATATTTTACTACAATGATCGGGGGACTTTTGACAATTGTATAATTAACAGAGAAATCTAGCCATTCACAGAATTCCAGTCCAAACATCTCAATGGTAATATATCTGACTGTTATAATACGCGATATAAGTTTGAATCTACAAGTGTCTTGAGTAACAGTCCCCTTCAAGATATCGGATTTACATCGTTGAAGAGAACCAACACGTATGAGACCTATATCAACGACTTTATGCAAACCCCCATCAACCAAGTAACATCAGACATATTTTCATTATGACTGTCCACTTAAGGAATTGGTTACTACTCGGTGACCATTTGGTAAAAAGAATTGGTGTTCATCCAAAATATTTTTTTCCAATTCTTATTGTGACATTCACTAAACTAAACAAGATAATTCAATCCTTATTTCCCTGTGCCATCGAAATTGGTTACGTTCTTAATCTGTCTGCCCGTTAATCTGTGCTTAATATACAGAGACATGAATTACCTCTGTCTAGTTTAAGGCCTTGTGGAGAAAGTTACTTAGTTTACCCTTGAAAACTGCAATGCGTAAGTTTGATTTATATCTAAAACGGCTTTGAGGTAAGAGAAAAGAAAACTATCCTACTTCTGAACTATGATATGATAGTTTGACAGACGAAAAAAAAGAAGACAATTTTAGCTGGAACTGTTATCCAATTTATTCTTGATTCAGCTTTATCTTAAAAATGAACATGAATAAATATATTGCCAACATGATCACAACATGAAATAACATAACCATATCCAAACTAGAACATTAGAGTAGAAAAATGAAATACGAAGGTCATGTTTAAATTATGGTAATTTTGATACAGAGAAGAATATGATATTTTAATAGTTGAGATCATGAATCAATTGAAGGTAGACCACCATAGAAAACCTGGAAGCACTGTATGACCGTTTCGTCCTATTGTGGGACTCCTCAGCAGTTCGCATCCAAAATCCCACCTCGCGAAATTCGAACCCAAGACCTATCAGTGCTTAACATCTAGATTACTGAGCCAGCATCTAACGGTGTTAATGTCTAACTTCAACCGATTCACGAAACTGAGCGACACATAGTGGTATGAACATTAAACAAAAGCTCATAACTCATAGAATAGACAAGGCGCAGAATTAAATGTTGGTACGTTATAAGCTTCGAATTAAGTTAGACAATATCCAGGAAATAATTCCTGTTGTTTGTCATTGCTTGTTTATTTCTCTATTCACATCAAAATGTATACCATGAGTTAAATATCTTGATCTTTTGTTTTATCTGGCTTCTAAGATTTCAGACAATAACGTAATATTTACCGATTTTGAATCAATCTTTGATACTTCCGTAAAATAGTCTATTTCAAATGTTATTAGAAATGTGATGAGAGTTTCATCTTGGAAGTATATTTTATTTACCATTCATTTACATTTGATATAATTACACTTGTAACTGAACCATTTTCTAATTATGAATTTAATGTATAGCGGATAAATTTTAGATCTAAAACTCCTATAAGCTACACTTCCATATTATGGAGATAATAAATGGTTGAAGATAGTCATTAAAAAACCATAGACCTTAACACTTACTACCGAAACGTAACCATAATCTTGGAGGTTGATGCTCCTCGTGGGGTCAAAACCCACGCCATCCAGTTCTACAGTCTGAAAGTTACCACTGAGCAATCAAAATAGCAACTGATTTCCTGTATGATTAGAACTTCGTCAATAGATTTCGGTTAGCATTGAGGGACTAAACGAACATGAAATTGTTCACTGCTCAAGGACCAACTAATTATAACTCATATATTATATTTGAATGGTTATCTGATTCAACAATAAAGATGTGAATACATGCAAATACTGTTACATTCTCTACGTGAGCCTTCATAACTCCCAATCTGTGAACTGATGGTAAGTATTATTACTCAAAGAAAGAGAGTAACAGGAGGTCTATTATCATTAAACTTAATCGTTATTTATTGTATTATGTTATTATAGTTACTTATTAATAGTCGAAGTAGATTGGATCAAGTGGCGGTTTTTTATTTTGATTCTAAGATCGTTAGTTGAAGAACATTTTCTGACAAACAGTAATGAGAATCAATTTTTATCTTCAACGATGTCTCTATTCGGTTCTAGATCACTCAAACAGTCGTTGAGATATGTGCTTCGTCTCTGATATAACTTACAAGTTTTAATAAGAATTGTGATTCAGTCTCCGCAGAAGTGATCTGACTCTGGGAAAGCAGAAGTTTCAATTAAAAACTTAATGGGCAGTATGACCATTAAACATATGACATTTTATGATTATGCTACTGTCATAACAGGTCATTCAACTAGTTTCCTAATAGATCCTGAGATACTTTTACTGGGGTTATTCGTTATTAAAGGTTTATAATCCATAACAGACTGTTGGAATTTCAGTGGTGTTGTGTTCTCTGAGTTTTTATTATAGTTCTGGATAATATCTTCAAAGCCTGTTGCATTCTGAAGTAAGTAATTAGTTATTTCACAAATGAATATCATTTTTTTCTGACCGATTCGCTTGTATTTGAAAGTCATTGTAAACTCTTTTGCCTTCAATTTTTCTTGTATTCCTATTATAGTCGAATTAGAAAAAACTAAGAAGGTCAGAAAACGTCTAGGAGCACAACATTCAAGTTAACTGTAATCAATAAACACGAGATCGAGTCCATCAGGGAGCACCACTTCCCTCGAGATTACAGGTACACCTTGCTAACGAGTGCCAAGTATCACGAAACCCGGGTCCACGGTTCCCTGTTGACCACCTCCAACCACCATCTTATCTCAACATAGTACACGCAGTGTCAAGCCACCTAGACTAGTGGCCACATTGCAACTTGATCGATAGCATTCGATCAGCACTAAGAAGGACTTGACATTGATCACCACCCAGTGATCAATCAATTGTGAAATCCAGATAGATTCAGTCTATTAAATCATGTGTAAGAATTTAACCAATCATAAAATCAAGAGGAAAATGAAAAAGACTCGTAACATGAATGTGAAAATAATCGAAGGTAACAAAATCTACAAAAACTACCAGTCAGAAACGGGGCCATTGGAATAAACTGACATAAAACTTATGGAATAACCGAAAGCTAATTTTAAGATGAACTGTGTACCTTTAATGTTGTCCAGAACGAAAATAAAATGCTTAGTAAACATACCATCTAACTAAGAGAGTACAGCATCAACGCAAGAATCAGTAAAAATTCTCATAAACAAACTTATTTACCTTATCAGAAAATAAGAAATTAACTAAAAATCGCGGTAATTCAAGTTCATCTAGAATATTGTTAAGATTCAATTTGACACGTTGTCTATAAATACCCGGTGGCATATTACAAAAGCACATTGTATTTTTCTGATAAAATCTAGGTCTCTTCAGTGAACATTTTGATTGTGGAACATTCGCTGGCCAATAATCACATACATTCTGGATAACTCTTTAAAAAGAAATAGATAGATGGCAAACATTAGCCGATATAAATATAGTAAAATTTAAGTGTAAAATAAAATAATCTTTAAAGAAGTAAAGTTAATACACAAACTTAAGTAGAGCTTAAAGTGATGAGTATATTGTCTAATACTAGATATTATCAGAATGAGGGTTAGTGAAGATTGTAGTAATTTTAATGGTTGAATTAATGAGTCGATTTAGGCTAGACAATCGTTGGAAACCTGGAAGCACTGAATGCCCGTTTGGGACTATTCAGCACTACGCACTAACGATCCAGTACAAGGGACTCGAGCCCGTTAATTCAACCAATGAAACTCGATATGTTTGCAAGTTTCATATTTAAGTTAGAATCGGTATTAAAAATGCTGTCAATTAAGTTGTTGTGTTAATTGCGTGATGCAACCCATCACTTACTAGTTATTAGGCAATGTTGATAATACTCATAAAACAACGTATTTTTGACCTGTAAGTGTATCTTTTAAATATTTAGATGAATATATAAAGGTTTTAGGTTTAGCATTTTGATGATCTTAGATTTTTTTATGCGTAAACTGTACCCTTTTGAAAGATTTTTACAAATTAATTTATATTAACAGTAGTTTATGAAATCAACTGAAGTGGCACAAGTGGCTACCTGTTTTCCCACTACTGAAATCCATAATAAATAAAAAAATTAATCAGCCTACAAGGAATCGAACCTGATGCTTTTGGTCCTTGGAGTGAGAGCGTGACCTGATTATTCACTATCTTGCTTTAAGACGAGTTAATAGAAATCAGAAACATGAATTATTGTATTCTGACTGACTGATTTAAATAGATCGCGCTTGTCATTAAACTAGGTTTTAAGTACAGTCTCTGAAAGATTTGTCGGTGCACATTATTCAATTGTTCCGAAGTAGAATAAAATAGTTGTCCAGAATTGTTCCTTCACTAATTACCCAGAATACGTCGATCAATGATGACGACCACCTCCTACAAACATATACTCTTTGGTTGTGAGTACTCATAAATTACTTACCCAATGTATAACGGAGGAAATTCTGGATTAATACGTACTTCCAAAATAAGACGATATTGCTCAGTTAATTCTTTATGTAATTGCATAACATAGTGTATACGTGCTTGAACATTTCCTTGTTTTAAAATTAATACGGATGGACGAATAGCGATTTTGTGCACGGTGATTACAGCAACAACATTATTTGTAGAATGATGATTTAATGCAGATTTATTTCCGAGATCGTCATTGGTTACAACTGTATCACTAGATATTTTAAATTTTTCATCGGCAGAGATCTCATTTTCATGAACGGAGCGTTTTGATCTCAGTAGAGAATAATTTTCATTTTGCTTCTTTGTCAGCCATGCAAATCTTTTAGGGGATTTGATCCAATTTCTTTTACTTCGAAGCCAATGACTTTTTAAACCAGTTAACTTCTTGTGATAACCTTTATATTTTCTTTTAGTTTGTCTTGAAAAACGTTTCTTATTATCATAATTAAATAAATTCCTTTCATACCAATGGATTTCTTCTTGAGATAACAAGTCTGGAGCTGGTTTGACTTCATCTGTAATATCAAGTATAGGATTCACTAAAATAAAATTACTGGTGTGGATGATTTTACAAAATTCCATGCAGTTATAATACTATTAACCTACTTATATAAACAATGGAGGATCTAATGACGGATATAAAGAATAACTCCTATTTTCCACTATACTGATCATAGAAGTTCAAATCCGTAAGAATATTCTACATCAAACAATGGTTACTTAAAAATAATTTATTTTAACAAATTACATATTCTAAGTGGCTAACACGAGTTTCATCCCATCTAGGGTTTTTTTACCTGGATACATATGTATCCCAGAATTTGTGTTTACTCCGCGATTCAAACTCAATGCCTTCGCTTCAAACACCAATGAGTTAGTCATTATGCTACTGATGTCAGTTTGTGAAATATACTGTGTAAATGACTGATCTACAAACTGTCGTTTCTTTTTACATTTGATTAGGTAATCTTGAGTAGTATGTACCATGTTTGTTGCAAGTAATAATGTCAATGGCTATTCTGTGTCAACTTTTTTTTGATTTCCTGACTACTTTGCTGTAAAATATTTCGAATCTTTGATCAAGAAGCATAGTATGAAACTATTTCTTAAAAAAGATTTTGAAGTTTATAGCAGATGAGTAAAAGTAGTCCATCTTATTAGGGTCTATAATTTAACTCCATTAAAACATTTCAAAATGGTATGATTTTAAATTTTGTGAATAGCTTCTTAATAAATCAAACCTTACACCAATTGTCATCAGTGAGTTGATATCTCTACAACAGACTTGGTTGAACTCCACTGGTCAATGCTTGCCACTAGAATCGTGGATCGTGGATGCGCACTGCTAAAGAGTCCCACAATAGGACGAAACGGCCGTCTAGTGCTTCCAGGTTTTCCATGGTGGTCTAGCTTCAATTGACTCATGATTTCAACTATGAAAATATTGAAATATCCACAAAAACCCCTTCTGATCTATAATCATATGTTCACTAGTGACTGACTGTAAGGAATGTTTTCTTGAGTTTTAGTGGGAAGTAGTGACCAGTGGAGTTCAACCAAGTCTGTTGTAGAGATATCAACTCAATGAAGACAATTGGTGTACGGTTGCTCAACTTCGTGGATCAGTTGAAGTTAGACAATAACACCGTTGGATGCCAGCTCAGTGGTCTATCGGTTAAGTGCTCCGGCGCAAACCTAACCTTATCTTTATATGCCATTTAAATACTAATAATACTTTGTAATACATTTTCACAATTCACTTAGTATTATTTGTTTGAATCTTCCCATTGATGTTTAGGATTGCAACTGGTCAGTCTCTTATTGGCATGTGTGTATACTATGCGTATTGCCTCGATATTACCCTAATTCACAAGCATTATAAACAAAGAAGGACTCAGTAGCTGAGTGGATAATGAGATGGCGTTTGAAGTGAAAGGTACTAGTTTCGAGTCGCAGAGTGAACATCAACTCTGAGATGCAGGTACATCCAGCTGATGAGTCTTAATTAGGACGAAACACGCGTCTTGGATTCCACTGCTAGCCACTATCCATCTTTGCTTATAATATTTTCACAATATTTAAAACTTTAAGTGACATATTTGTCGGATTAAACAAGATACACATCCTTAATAGTGATATTTTTTTTCTGTTATCGAAAAAGTTGACAACTATTCATTGATTAATTCATCTTCACGTTGATTTTTTGGATAATCCCATTGATGTTTAGGACTTCAATTGATCAGTCACTTATTGTCATATATGCATCCTGTGCGAATTCCCTCGAAATTACCTTAAGTCACAAAGATTATAAGCGGAGATTGATGATAGCTCACAGTGGAATTCAGGATGCACGATTCGTCTTATTTGAAACTCGTCAGCTAGATTTACGTGCATCTCAGAGTCTCGAAGTGAACGTCAAATCTGAGATGCAGGTACATTCAGCCAAGTCTTGCGTCCTGTATTCCACTAATAGCCACCACCCAAACAATCCTTTTCTTCAATTAAGAAGGATTCGTAAAAGAAATATATTCTAATTAATGTGAAGACAAATGATTTGTATTTGCTTGATCGAGTTAAAGTAAACCAAAAAAAGGGTCCCAAATTGTGATCTAATTACTTAGATTTAATTATTTTTATCGTTAAAACGGTACATTCTTGGTATTCTTTTAGGCGAAAAGAAATTTTTAAATTTTTTCTCCTTGTTTAAAATGTTCACTACTAATCTGGTTAGTTGGTATTCATCACACACGAACTATATGTGTATATATAAGTAAACATTTGTAGTAAATCTATCTTCAAAATGTCAACCGAATATGAAATAAGTTAATTGACCAAAATATAAATGGCTTATATAGGTATCATTTAAAGTTGACCACCAGCAAATTGTGTATGAGACCTCCAACGTAGTGAAATATCCACACACACAAAAAAAAACTAATTAAATATTTGTAATATAATACATTTATATGTAAAAGATGTACAAGGGAGGACGAGGATGAAGAGGAGAAAGAGGAGGAAGAGAAGGAGGAGGAGGAGGGAGTTGATAGTTGTGTAAATTAGTAATAAATAGTAAAGCATTTACAAGCTGTATTGAATAGTGAATGACTTTTGTAATTTCTTCTTCTTGGTATTATTATTATCATTTTCATTATTGTTATCAATATCTTCTACCTCACATGATGTAAATTAACGTACAAGTTAAAAGGTAAAAACATAAACACTAATGAATAGACAAATAAATAAATAAATATCATCATCATCATTTAGTTTTGGTGTGAATCTCTTATTGTAGAGTATAATGTGATGTAGGTCTTGCAAATTTATTGGAAAGACTATATATATAGGTTTAACGGTTAACTTTCATTTAGATTAGATCTATACATTTCGTGTTTTTTTTTTTAACCAAACTGCACGTATGAGACTCTCTGATGTAGTTGGATGAAAGAAGAAAGGTTCACTTGTACAAGTGTTGTTAAGAATTTACAGAAACAAAAAAACCGTTCCAAGGAAATAAGACAACGATTCATACTCTAAACCGAAGGTCCTAAGTACTATTCTCAGCTGTGGGTTCGTAGATGAACATTATAGAAGAGTACTGTATTAGGATCAAATAGCTGTTTATTAATTCTTGCTTTTCAATGATTATTTATTTTATTTATTATTTGAACACATAGATATTGGTAGAAGGAGGCACCAGATACATATGTGCCGCACAAATCTCATTTGATTTATATGAGGGCTGTGATACTGCTCAGGTGCCCAAACTGAAACAGGTGGTTTTCTTTGGAGGCCACATCCGGAAACTTTGACATAAAGATCTGATCCACAAGGCAGTGGAGCATCGTGAGGAAATGCAGTCCCATGGTAGCCGGTGACCAACGATTGATTCGTACGCATTTGTTCCCTCAGGATACTGGAGCCCATGTGCACCATTGGTTTGGAATGAGAGTTTTCCAACTCCCCTAGATGGACTTTCCGTGTTCACTAACCCGGTTGAAGAGCCGGACATTCGCTTTTCGTCCTCTCAATTTCGTAAACAACACCCCCTCTGAGAGAAGGAAGTGAGTAGGACTTCCCTGACAGAGGCTATATATGCGTGGCCATCTGAGAGCATTTCGAGAAGGAAACCGTACTCTCGTCACTCTCGGCCGTACCAGGGCATTTGGGGGCAGTGATAACACAGATCGATTGCATAATTTCCAAGAGGTTATCAAGATTTATATGTTTAATTTACCTATAGCTTTTGTAAATGGTTTAAAAAAACTTTTAACCTTTTGAGTAATTTAATATTGTGTAGATACAAAAAAACGTTTTTTTAGTTTCACTTATTCACATTGTAAATAATTCACATAGTGACTAATCTATAGAATTATCTATTCATATGGAAAGATTACAACTATGGTATATGTAAACTGTTCATTTCAAAATAAGTCTTTATTATGAAATAACTTCAGCTGGTTCAGCAACAAGAGTAGGGGAACAACAACTAAGTTGTTAAGGTATTATAAATGAAGACAAAATAAGTTAAAAGTCTTTCGACTAGTTTTGTTTCAATGTTATTTCATGAGTTAAAACTCAAAAATTATAAAATAAATAATTATCTAAACTAGAGAAATTAAATACTCCAATCTTATTAGAAGGGTATTTTGTAAAGATTTTAGTAATTTTACAGTTGAAATCATGAATCAATTGAAGCGCTCACGCGCTAGACCGATAGATCCTGGGTTCGAGTCTCGCGAGGCGGGATCGTGGATGCACACTACCGAGGAGCTCCACAATATGAAGAAATGGCCTTTCAGTGCTTCCAGGTTTTTCATGGTGGTCTTTCTTCAACTGACACATGATTTCAACTATAAAATTACATAAATCTTAGTTAGATTAAAGATGGTCATATATATGTATATAGTTTCCAGTGTTATGCTAGAAAACTCAAAATTCTACTGGATTAACCTACTGTTATACTCTGCATAATCATAAGTTATTAGTTTTTCTAAACTATAAGGAAACACCGTTAGTTTGCACTAGTATTTATCATATCTAATGTACAGACATCAGCGAGGGGTAACAGACGTAAGTATGTAAGTAGGTAAGTAAGTACAGACAATCATGAAACTTCTTACATTCAATTGTTACAAAGCATTTATATTTATATGTTAAACTGATTGATGAATATTATCAAGTAGAAACTAAATTATCATTATTCTCGTTTATTCTCTAATAATCTAGACTAATATATTGAAAAGACTTTGCAGGATCAAACATCAATCTAAATAAGTTATGATTAATAGAAACTGATTTCAGAACGTTTTGTATGATGTTTGATGAAAACATGTCTTCTGTAAACTAAATTAAAATAAGATATCCCTTTAAATACCTAGACAGGCGAGTATTATTGAGGAATTTCATACTGGGGTTGAGAAACTGTTTGACGCTCACTCCATATTAATAGTTTCACTCAATATTATATTTTTGGTACAATATAGAATTTTAATAGTTAAATTCCCGAGTCGATTTC